CACAGCAGCTAAAAACTCACAGCAGCTAAAGCTCACAGCAGCTAAAAGCACGAGGACTTTTCATTTAAATTGTAAATGGATTAATTCTACAGCTCTTAATTCACACTCAAAACTTTTCACAACAATCTGTGCCTCAACTTACACACACACACACACACACACGGTTCATGATATTTTGCTAACAAGAGACCGTCACCTGAAGAGTGCAGCCCCACAGACGACGCAGGTGTAGGTGCCGTCATCTTTCTGGTCGACGAACTCTCCTGTGAAGGCCCTGAGGGAAAGTCTGTGTTAGTAAAATATCTACCTCTTTCAGCTCCACAGCTCTAACCCTTACTGCAGTTTTCATTAAACTGGTCCGGTGGTTCAGCGGACATTTAGTTACAACAAGCAGACACGTGGGCGTTCTGGATGAAAGCGGGCCAGAAGCTGAAAGGTTCTGGTCCAGAGTGTGTCCAACCTCTCAGTTCCTCTCTCCTGGGTCACGTGATACTGCTGAGGAGTGAGACGTTCCTTCAGCTCCTCCTGAGAGAAACTCTGCGGCCACGACTTCTTGGTCCGACGAGCTCCTGAGAACCAGAACAAAGTCCTTCAGGTTCTGACCCAAACGTCTCAGACGGGCCTTGAAACAAGCAAACCAGCCGCTAGTTCACACTTCAGACCTGTGGCACAGCGGATTCATCAGTGACACGCTCCGACCCGCTCATCGTCCTGTAGGACTTGAATCATTTACTCGGTTTAATAAATAAAGTTCAGTTTTTATTAAAGTGACTTTTTAGTTTATGGCAATTTTATGAAAACGAGACATTTTCAAAGATTTCAACGAATTTCAAAGAAAGATTTAAATGTTTTGTCAGAAAATCAATCGTGTTTATTGACTGAACCTCAATAAATCAATAAATCAAACCAGGACGAGGGTTAAACGAGCGAAAAGTTTGATTGACAGGTTGATGTGCTGTGAGTTCATCACATGTGCTTCAAACCACTCGGTGCAAACGTGCACAAGCAAACGTGCACGGACGCTTCGGTTAGCTGAAAGTGAACCATCAGAATGGATGATCGACACGTGGACGAGTGAAACGAACGTTTAATCCAAAGTTTAGTCTCACGCAGCTCATAAGGTTTGATCAACTGAACAAGACACTGCTGTTCATGGAAGTCATCTTCATCTTCATCAAGGTGCCGTTCACCTGATCGATTATGAAACTGATGACATCACACGAGCGTCTGTCATGGCCGACTTCGTTTCAAACATTTTCTGATGCGACGTTTCACAAATGAGTCAATTATTAAAAATAAAAAACTGTTTCAAATGGTCCTGATGCTGCTCAGGGATCTAACCAGGTGGAGTCAGGTCCTCTGGACGACTTCTTCCAACGTTTCTTCTTTTATCTAAACGATGATGATGATGGTGAAGAGGAGCTGCGCTGTAAGACAAAGCTCTGGTCTTCGTTCCTCCCCTCTGGTCATGAACTCTGGTAGAGACTGAAAGAACCAGATCCTGGATCCAGGAGGTCTAAATGAGTTTCCTCTGCAGAGCTGGACTCTCCCTCAGAGACAGGCTGAGAAGTTCAGTTATCAGGAGAGACTCAGAGGAGAACCACTGCTCCTCCACATCCAGAGGAGACAGTTGAGGAGGTTCATCTGGTAAGGATGCTCCCTGGGCACCTCCCTAGGGAGGTGCTTCAGGTATGACCGACTGGGAGGAGACACCCGGGAAGACCCAGGACTCTGGAGAGACTATGTGAAGAGAGATGTCTCCACCTCCCTGCTCAAGATGCTGCCCCGAGACCTGAGTCCAGAACAAGAGGAAGATGACAGATGGATGGATGGATGGATGGACGGACGGACGGACGGACGGACGGATGGATGGATGGATGGATGGATGGATGGATGGCTGGACGGATGGACGGATGGATGGATGGATGGATGGATGGATGGATGGAT